TCTTGGTGTGTCTCTGTAGGATCCGTACTAGATTGTGAACCACAAGGTCAGTGGTTCAAACTCACCTGCTGCTCCTCGGAAACCCTATACATGGTCACTATAAATGGCACTTAACAGAAACAACAACATATATACACATGTTATTAAGTCTTGTTGAGTTGGTTCTGACTCATAATGACCCTGTATAGGGTTTCTGAGGAGCAGCTGGTACATTTGAACTGTCAAGTTTATGGTTCAAACTGACCTTGAGGTCCAGTGCTTAGTTTACAGTAATATAGCCAGACTACATCATGTACTGTGTATATGTTGTTGTTGTCAAGTGCCGTTGAGTTGATACCGACTCATAGCAACCCTTTATAGGGTTTCCAAGGAGCAGCTGGTGAGCTTGAACCACTGACCTTGCAGTTCAAATGGCTTTGCAGTCTGGTGCATTAACCCACAGCGCCACGCTATGTATATATAATATAGTGAAAGAATATGTACATGTTTATTTATGTGCATGTATGTTTGTGGAAAATAAATTAGAACAAATTAGATAAAATTGTCCTTACTTCTTGGTAGAATTTCAGGTGGTTAAAAAATATTTTTGTGCTTTTATATTTTCTCACATTTTGCCACAACTGTTTATTATGTTGCATTGATAATATGTGTTTTAATGTTGCTTTTTAAAGAACATTTACTGAAGCTCTTTTTTGTTTTTTTCATGAACAGAGTTTTTCAACTTATATCCTTAATGGATACCGGATTGCCTCAGTGTTCTAATGAGAAAATAGAGCTTGCAGTACTGTGGTTCTTGGATCAGTTTCGTAAAACGTATGTTGGTGATCAACTTCAGAGAACCTCAAAGGTAGGTTTTTACTAGAGATAAAGAAGAATTATAATAAATTTTATTGGAGATGAAGAAAAACATGCGTGTGTAACAGCATTAAGCCAAACAATAGATTTCAGAGATGTTACCAGAAAACATTGAACTTGATCAGTTATAATCAATTGATGGATTTGTATTGATGGTGATAAGAAGTTAGTTTGCTTGTTTTATACCCAGATTTACCATTTTCTTTAAATATTGATTGAGAGAGAAAGATTGAACAGTTTTTAAATAAATAGTCATTAAATAGTTAAGATTATTTTAAATACCTTAATGGAGTGCTTACTTATTTAAGACTGAGAACATGACTTTCTCTTTTAATAGTTCTGGGTTTCGTGGGTACTTACTGTGTGGTTTTTAGTATATTTAACTCATATGATGACATTTTCTTATAATACATAGTGATGACTAGGAGAATTAGATGTGTCCTTCAGAGGCCATAGTTAAATCACCACAAATTAGAGGATAACCAGTAGTCTGACCATTGAAAGTATAGCATCAGCAACTTTAGATGCACTGATCTTGAAGCATGTTGAGGGTTTATTGAGGGCGTTTATGTGAACTATAAACAGATGGTTAGTAATACCCTGGCACTAAGATCTGTACAACATTTGTTTTTTTCCTTCTTCTTCTTGGAATAGTGTTTCCAAAACTTTGTCTGGTAAGGGGTCCTTAGGACAACCTTAACCTCCTTTGGATTTATAATTTGTGTTAGTAATGTTAAAGGATTTCTTATCTGAAAATTCCAGGTTGAGGTTTTTATTTAGGAAATTTAGCTTAACTTTTACTTCATGTATTACTTTCTGATAATAAAATTTGCATACTAGTGTCAGGTGTTTTTTTGGTTTTGTTAAGATCATCTTTTATTATAGGTAAAATTTTCTTCACTTTTTAAGAAAGTAATGTAAGTTGATGGTTCCTTTGTCGAATACATTCTGATATTTAATTGACATTTAGGGATAATATCAAATTTTCTTAGAATTTAGCTTCCTTGGAATAAGAGCACTAGGAAGGAAAAGAAGCAGTTTGAAATAAATGTTTTAGGTTGTCAGTAAGACATTAGAATTGGGCAGAAATTACATGGTGTAATATTTATACAGGATGCATCGCTTTAAATCCCAGCTGTCTTATGCACAGGTTGAATATAAATGAATTATGATAAATTGTCTTGTTTTAAATGTACCCAGAGAGTTTATTATTTTGCTTTTGCAAAAGTGGATAACATTAGTAATATGATACACATTTAGTCTGGATCTTAAATCTGAGCCGTATTATATTAAATAAGAAAAGCCTTCAAATTATTGTTTTTAAAGCACTTGAAAGGAAATATGTAAAATTGGACTAGTTGTTTAGGGAAATGGGATTTTGGAAATTATTTTTCAAAATGTTTGAGGTAAATACAAGTTTTAAGGGATTTGTGAAAAAAGTGAATTATAGAAGATCAAATTGTCCTTTTTGCAAAAGCTAGCATATTGAGAAACAGTAAACCCTTTGTCAAACAGGTATTGATTCTTTTATTATAACTTTGATGGTGTTTGTGCTTGTATATTAGCCTATTTCAAAGGGAGTTTAGTCTTAAGGTGACTTTATTTCTAAGGCATTCATGTCACATAAAACCAAAGTGAAGCTTAAACTTCCCACATCTTTATTTCTCTGGTTTGTCTGCTGACCCGCCTTCCTGGAGACCATTTGAGGTGGGGTGGGAGTAGAGGTGGCACAGGGATTTTTAATGTATGTTGGCACTCCTCTACGTACTCTTCACACCCTCGGTTATTTTTACCGCAAGCTAGCAGCGTCGGTTATTCTCATTTTATAGGTGATGGAACAGAGTCTTTAAGATGTTGTTGTTATTAAGTGCTGTTGAGTTAATTCCAACCCATAGCGACCCTGTATTGGGTTTCCAAGGACTAGCTGGTGAGCTTGAATCACCGACCTTGAACTTTAAATTACTTTGCGGTCTGATGTATTAGCCCATAGCGCCACTGATGTACTCTTTTTTTCTGGTAACAAACTAAGGAAGGTTAGGTGGAAAATATTTTTTGATTAGTATGTTGTTGAATTCCAACTTGGGGCTAAAAAGGGCAGTATATTAGATAATAATAAGTAAATAAAGTCTTAATGAGTGAATAAAGTTTAACAATTAGTGAATTAGGAACAAAGTTAAACACTGGACATTGTCTCATTTTTTAATGGATCATATAGAACATGACTTACAAGGTTTTTAACAGTCTCTCTTTTTTACTATCTTCATTCCTAAAAACTCCTTACTTTATGTGTCCTGAACTTTTTCCACTTCCTTGCACAGTCTGTTCTTTATAAACTCTGGATGTTTGAACAAACTGCTCCTCGGTGTTCTAGGAGGTACAAGCAGAGCCTCAAAGTTTCTACATTGAAAAATTCCAAGTAAACTAAGATACCTCCAGTGAACATTACAGATTCTAACACAGAGTAGATTTTCAAATGTGTTTGTTGAGTAAATGAATACCTGATACATAAAAAATGTTTTCTTTAGTGTGAAAGAAATATGAGAAAATGATATATCATAGTCATATATGATCTCCCTTGTGTATAGACAACCAGAACTTAGACAAGAGGGTAGCAAATGTAAGCTTCCAGAAACTGACTGGTTTGTTGTCCAACTGGGTTGTTTTTGAGATAACAGTAGTAATCTGCTCTGGAGTTCAGAGTAACATGGTAATCCAGAATGGTCAGGGAATAAAATATATTAATCAAAAGCGTGGCTAGTAACTGTATATGCAAATAGATTACACATTTTAAATATTAGCATGTTGTATTTGCTGTTAAGTCAGTACCGACTTATAGCAACCCTGTACAGGGTTTCCGATGAGTGGCTAGTGAGCTTGAACCACCAACCTTGTGGTTCAAACTGACTTTGCTGTCCAGTGCATTAATCCACAACGTCAAACCAGAACTCCTAATATTAGGATACAATTTCATATGTTAGAATCATTCTAAATAGAATCTTAAGGCATGTCAGGATTTTGTAGTATTTCTTCTTTATTTTATATATCCATCAGTTGTTCTCCAGTGAATGTTTCTAGTGCCTTCCATTAATTTATTGCGTGATAAGTGCCACCATTTATCATGATTGTAAACTGCCTCCGTTTATTAAGAACAATTTGAAATACTACATTTTTGTACTAGATGGCCATTCATTTAGTAGAAAAAAGTCCATTTTCATTTCTCCAATTAAAATTAGATTTTAATTTTTAAAAAATAAGAGGTTTATGTTGTTGTTACGTACAGTGGAGTTGGTTCCGAGTCGTAGCGACCCTGTATAGGATTTCCAAGTAGCAGCTGGCTAGTTTGAACTGCTGACTTTGCAATTCAAACCCACTTTGCAGTCCGGTGCTTATCTTACAGCACCACACCTATTGTTGTTGTTGTTACGGTTGTTAAGTGCCATCGAGTTGGTTCTGACTCATAGTGACCCTGTGTAAGGTTTCCGAGGAGCAGCTGGTGGGTTTGAACTGCCGAGCTTGTGATTCACAGTCCAGTGCTGATCCCATAGCGCCATATCTTGGCTTCTGAATATCTATCAAAACGTGTAAATTTTGAACTTCGTTTTTAAATCCCATTACCGTAAACATCAGTCTTATTTAAATGTATTGGTTATAAAATTTAACTAATAAGTGGAATCACAAAAGTTAATTAAAACATACTTTTCAGATCTTGGAATGTATTTAAGCCATAACACTAATAACAAATAGTATAGAACTTGCCTGAATTCTGCTCTCCAGTCTGTACTCATAGAAATACAATTCATCATCTCAAATGATCTGTGTGTCTTTTTTCCATCACCACTCCTGACACACACTTGCACACATCCTCCCAAATTTGCTTTTGTACCATGCATTTGCCAGTGTCATCAAGAAGACTTTCTGATGTAAAGGTGTCATGCTAATTAATGTGTGAATGCATTCTAGAAAAGATTTTCCTTTTCTAAAGAAAATATTTGTTAATGCCAGAGAATTCCATGTTATAACAACGTGAAGTTAAAAAACAAACAAACACAAAAACAGGCTGTGTTGGGGTAGCTGCTTGGGGTGGGTTCGCCATTTGGGCTGGGAATGTATTTTGCTCCTTTCCCATAGGTTTGTTTCTGCCTTTGTTCTGTTCTGAATCATCTTTTTCCTAAAAATTTCCACATTGCTTTTCATGACATTTTTCTAGGCATGCAGAATTTTCTAAAGCCAGAGGGAGTAAAGACAGGATGTTGTTGTTGTTGTTGTTGTAGTTTTGTGCTGTAAACTTGGTTTGGACTCACACCTAGCTGGTATACCATTTCCCAGGAGCAGATGGTGGATTTGAACTGCCAACCTTAACAGTTAATAATTCAGTGCTTAGGGTTCATAGATAGGTTTGACCATACATACACATTTGCCTGTTTATGTTTTAGTTCACACTTGTTTGCTTGGCCTAGTTAATAGTTCCACCTTTCATTCTCAAAAGTATTCCTGTTTAAATGATAA